CGGTTATCTGATCATGTCGTGACGCGTGAGTCCAGCGATTCGACTCAAAAAGCCAATTTCACCGGTATTTAAGTTCTACTGTAATGATGCATCACCATAGGTGAGCATGTGAATGAAACTCAACACAGAGCAGTCTTAGCAATCAGCTCTGCATTAGACATAATGGCTCGAGAGAGTTTACGTAGAACTTTGCTTATCCACTAACTGTTCCAGTTTACCGGTTAATCTCCCATTTTACAGAGGGTAGGAGAACGAGACCACTGGGCTTTTCATGTTCAACACGCTACGCACAGCGTTAGAGATCAGGTTCAGAAGATGTCAGCTAAATAATGTTGTTTGCAAACAATAACTTTATCGTCTACGCTGATGCTTCCCTCGACCTACAGCAAAGACAGGAAAGGGAACAAATGCAACCTGGGCGGAAACCAGTGGTATCGTTAAAAGATCTCGACTTAATACCATTTGCTCTGATGCAGCAGCTGTCATCATGGATGAAATGCTGATAATGACTGAATGGCTCATGGCAGATGGTCAATGCTCCCATGCGTTTGTAGCCACGCCCATAGATTGTTGCACGGGATCCGGTCGTAGGCTTTCTACCAGTAAACTTAATAAGTTTAAACCGGATGTGCGAATTCCATCGATTGGCTTAGCTGGGCGAAATACTGGTGCTTTTGCCTGCCGTGAAGCTGTTTCCGTAGACTTTTCCCATTGGACTCAATAAGGTGAAGTTCAGATAAATAAATCACTCCCTGTGGTCTCTCTTCTTGAACAGGTATCCTGCAACCCTCATTCTCCATTTCGCTGGTATTTTTCCCGCAGCCATTGCAGTTTGACACACTTTTTAGCCACAATGTCTTCTTCTTAAAATTTAAGCGTCTCAGAGCGAGTTTCATCGAATCAAAAGCCTTGTTACTGTTCAAAATGTTCTACAGCTTCACTGACATCATCCACTTGAAGGGTAATGATCATTTCTTGCTGTTTTTCAGTGAAATCTTCTTGTGGTTGCTCAGGAATAAGGAGTTCTTCAGGGGACAATCTGTCGATAGTCAAAGTATGTTGTATTCGTACTTC